ATGGGTACTCTAGGCCACGTCATGCTACACACTCAAGAGGAAACAGGAGGAGCCCTCCAAGTCCCAACTAGGGGCTACAATGACACCTTCCTTCTCTCCCGTTGGTGACTGCACTGCTTGTCAAGGGCTGTGGGTTGTCATGGTGATTCCTGATGCAAGAGTAACAATGCATGCAGCAATGCCATTGGGTGGCCTATCTGAAAAACAAGACCTTTTTCTACTCCACAGACACAGGAGGGCGCTAGGAATGGGCTGGAAGCCATTGGGTTTTCCTAAGAGAAACAGATGAAAGCTGAGATTCCCTGAGACCACAAAGGGAGAATTATTATTTGGTTACCAGATCAAGTGATCTGATGTATTGTGGCTTGCCCATTCCTTCCCTCATGACTATTAGGATGGTAACTTTCCTATCTGATAGCCACATGGTTACCAATCAGTCCTTTAAATGGGGTGAACCATTCATTCAATCACTAGCATGGAAGGATTCCAGGATTTAACTGTCCAAGGGCTTTCCAGGTACACAAGAGAGGGAAGAACCCCTCCTGGAGAATGCATCACCATGTCAGTCTGCTTCTTCCGCTGGAGAGAATTCTCATTGTCCCACCTTGACTGGGTCTCTAAACACAAGCAGCTCCTTGACTATCCTCTCATAGGGATCAGGGCAGACATTAGTGGGCTAACGACAATGAACCAGAGAAAGTTCCATGGACACAGAGCCGTGACTTATACTGAGCCATAACAAAAGGAGTTGATCTGCAGGTCAGCAGCACCCCCTGTGGTTTGAGTCATCATTGAGAAATTCGTGCTCTGCATACCAAAAAAACTGGCTCTGCACATCTGCCTGCGACTGGGTGAAGCAGAAGCCTCTGGAAGGATGTGCTGTGGTTAAGGGGATGGACTGCCCAGGTTCCAATCCTGGTTCCGTCACTTACATGCTGAGTGACAATGGTCAAGTCACTTAACCCTCAGTTTTCCCATCTGTAAAACGGGCCTTTCCACAATACTTTCCTCTTAGCATTGTGGTAAAGATTAAATGAGATGATGCACATGAAATTGCTTAGCAGTTTCAGGTCCTGAAGCATATTGAGTATTCAATAAATGTTAGCTGCTATTATTAGCAGCAGTAGTAAGTAGTTCTTGTGAAACAGCTGGTGCGGGAAAGTGAACTATAGGGAATGAAGTTTTGCTCACTGCTCTGTAATTGGCATGGTGCATGGCAAACTCCAAGAGCCTCAAATGGTCTCGTCTGCCCTCCAAGAAAATTAAACAACAGGTGCTAGAGTTGTCTTAACTTATTCCAGCCTGAAGACAGTCTGGTTTGCTTTAAGACCACCTGGAGCAGGTTTAAAAGCTTCCATCTCAAATGACTGCCCTCCCCACTTAAGTGACTTTCCTTATGCATGTCACATGATGGATGAGCACTAAATGAATGCTCCTTATTCCCTGGAGGGGAGCTGTAACAGTGCAGCTTGCAGCTTTCCATCAGTGGAGGAAATGACAGCCTTTTCCTGCTTTGGGGAGGATGGATCTCTGAGCTACAAGGTGAGGGATCTCAGGGCACAATGCTGGCTGCCCACAGAGGATCATCATCTTCACAGATGTCCCAGAAGCCTGTGAGCCTGGGTGGGCAGGGCAATAGAAAGGAGCAAGACCATTCACCTTGAGCTTCCAGTGAGGAAGAAGACAGGTCACTTCTCTAATAATTGAGCTGCTCCCACCACTGGAGTTGGGATCATGTGCTCAGTGACACGTCCTCTTCTCACTTTGGGTTCTGAGATGCCTCCATCTCATGTGGGATATTTCAATTCTAAACATACTTCCCAGTGTCCAAACAGTCACCAACCCACTTCCTAGCAGCCAGTTTTAAGGAGGGAAGCTGATAGATTACCTTGCATCCCCTAAACACTATAAGGGTTGCTAGTAATGAACAACAAATGTGTGTTTTTACAATGAATGGCTGCAGGAACTGAAGGTGTTTAGGATTAATTATAGGGAGACATACTAGCTACTTGCAAACATCCAAAGACAATGATAATCGACTTTTCTGAGTTTTCTAGAAATGATTACTGACGTTTAGTATAAGAAAGAGCTTTCTAATCTTCCTACTAGGCAGTGAGGGCTTATCAGAGGAACCATCAGCAAATAAGTGACAGGAGGATTTGTGAGAGCACGCATGGGAGGGATTCTTGTCTTAGCCAGGTAGGAGGCTGTGCTTGGAGCCCTGAGCTTCCTTTGAATGTTAAGATTTTGGAACTTAAACTGAAGGAGGTAACTCTTGTGAGGCTCTAGGGGACTGAGGGTGGAATATCATGTTTAGGACAGCTAGGGCTCGTCCTTGTTGATGTACTTGCTGCAGCCTCTAAAAAACAGAGACATTCTCCCCAGAATGGCCAAGAGTTTTGGGCATTTGCCCAAGGGAACACTCCAAGAAAAGCCTCCCAGGAGGCTGGCTGTGTACATATTGGACTGGGCAAGCTTGATAGGGTGGCTGAAAAGTCCAGAGGAGTGGGGAAAGAGGGGAGGCAGGCAGGAGAGCTAACTACAATGCACCCACTTGATTACTGCCAGCATCACAGCAAGTGCCAGAAAGGAAATGTCCAGGGCCACTTCATGTGGCAGAGACAGTTCAGCTTTGCCAGTACCAATTATTTGAGAGATGGAATGAGAAGATAAAAATGCAAACCTCTCACAAAGAGCCTCTGAGTCAAAGGAGAGAAAATTACCCAGACTACCAGGGTTTTCTAATCAGAGCCTTCTTATCAGTGTTTCCAGTCTAACAGAGAGAAATCCAATCTACAGCAGGCTGAACACTAAATTAGATCAAATCAGGGCCCGCTTTCCAACCACACAATGGCAGGTCAAAACCCAATGACAGCTACTTGAGTCCCAGTTACTGATTCTTTCTGGATGGTCTGCCTGAGTTGTGTCAACTCTTGGTTTCAAGAGAGGGGAGATGCTTCCTCTTCACCCCAAACTGCTCAATTCCATCTGCTCAAAATGGTGAAATTAAACTGGAGTTGCCTTCCTGGCTCATGCAAAGTCCTCTTAGTTCAATTCACCTCATGATTGCTGTTAGCTTGGAGCTGAGACACATGTCTTTTTCAGTATAGATGCACTGGGCGAAGCACTGTGATGCACATTCTGTGTCTCCTTAATGTGTGCAAGGACATTTTCCTTCCTGCACGCAAACACACAGATTATAAAAGGAAAATCACACCAGCCTGGTGGAATACAACACTGCCAAATCCACCTCAAGGTGGATGCTATTGCTACTCTTCTTTCAAGGGATTAATAGATACAGTTAACCAGCCTTATGGTGGCAGTTATAACTTACAGTTTCTTTGCTACAAGCAAAGAACACCATCTGTGAAACACCCAGCTCCCTGCAGAGCCCTGGCCTGTTATTCTAACAGATAGCCTTAAAAGTCCACCCAAAGCTGGGACCATTGAACAGGAATATGCCCACCCAGAGACACACAGAGTGAGGCAGATGTGAAGGCAGAGGTGGGGGAGATGCAGAGAAAAAGAGACTTTTCTCTCTCTTGCTTTCAACTTCACTGAAACAAGCCTGGTTGCCGGTATGACAGATCTGTTCCCTGGAAGCTTGCTGGGCTTCTTATGCCTACATTATTCACATTGTTGTGTGTTCTGGGAGAATCTGTCTAGAGCTGAGTCTTAAAGGGAAGGGTAGAGGAAACATGTGAGAAGAAAGGGCTGGAGGAAAAGTCTCACTTCCTGTTTCTTGAAGAGTCTGTGGGCATCAACCATATAAAATGTGTCAACCCTGTTCCTCTCTCCCTCTTGCTCTTGTGCCTGCCATGGCTTTGGAGACCCAGCTAGAACCCTGGCCCACAAACCCATGCTGTGGGTCCTTTGAACGGCACATGGGAGGTGGGGAGGTGCCAGGCCTCTTTCTCACTGCTTGCGACTTGCAGGTAATTTTAAAAAGACACACACACACACACACACACACACAAAATTTTCTCTCTTTCTCTCTCTCTCTCATCTGCACACCTCTGCAAACATACGTCATATGCTATTTAGAGGGCTGGGAGGCTTCTGAATGAAGGGCATGGCCATGTAGGTTCTTATCCAGTTTCCATACCCATTCCACTGTGTGACTGGGGAGAGTCATGTACCTCTCTGAGACCTGGTCTTCTCCATTGCTCAAGATCAGTTCCTAATACCCAGAGGAACTGTGATGGCCACAGAGCAAATGTGCACAGGCATGCACACGCATACACATTCCCACAGCCATGGTACATGTGTGTAGATGCTACAGCTGCCTTGTCACAAGTCAGAGATGATTCTACCAGCACAAAAATTAAACTATCCTAGGAGCTAAACTCCTTTCCTTCCTTCTCCACACAAGAGTTCAATTATCTTCTTCAAACATTTAAGCTCAAATGACCAGAATGAAATAAATGCAAATAAATAATCCCTGAGCTTAAAATTCGAGGCAACCACCCTTCCTTTAAATTAAGTAAACACTCCCCTCCACCCTGTCTTTCCCAGATGGAGTCACACTGGTGACTGATTATGTTCCTCTTGAATTATTCCCCTCACCCCCACCCTTCTCCAAGGTCACGTGTCCATCAGCAGCTCTGTCTCAGTTTAGTACTGGAATTTGATGTGTGAATGTTTTAGTTCCCTAAATTCTTAGCACACTCCTGCAAAATGTTTTCCTTTTTGTTGGATTTGACTTTTTCGTATTTCTAGCCCCAAACCCTGTGCTTAGTGTCTTCACACCTGGGAAAGGGTCCTCAGTCGTATCATGTGGCTTCGTGCACACTGACCTCGGTCTTCCTCTGCCCACTCCCTGGCCCTGGCCCTCCTTTCACAAAAATAGGAAATGGAGGTAAAGCATGGACAGCTCAGAATTTCTTTTCTCTTTTGTCTGCCTAAAGTCAAAAGAACTCTCCAGAGCACGGCTCAAAGTTTTCAGGTGGGAGTCTTCCAACAGCACCAGAGATACAAACAGTGAAAAGGTTCCTACTCACAGCAGCTGTAGGGACACCAGCCCATCAAACAGTCCCTTGGCAATCTCCGTGATCTTGTTCCCATAGAGGACCCTGAAAGACAGCAGAAGACAGCAATCACCGTGGATGTGAAGCCACAGGAACCCACTCCAGCAGGAAGTCATCACCTTGGCCACTTCTGGGTGTGAGATCTCAGGACAGCCCCTTCCATGGCCTGCCTAATCCCTTCTCATCAGCCAGACAGAAGCAGCCAAGAGCAGCCAGGGGCTGGAGGGGCAGGTTGTCTGGGAGGCGAGGAGAAATGGGCTCTATCCTGCTCCACTCCTGGGCAGCCTAGCCCAATACGTAAGCCACAACAGGAAAAGCAGTCTCTTCGTGGTGTCTCCCTAAGCTGCTAATATGACTCACACCCCAGCAATAAATACAGTGTGTGGGAGACTGGCCCTGTGTCTTCAATGGATATTGATCAGGTTGAGCCCAGCCTGTAGAACGTTTCCTTTTAATATCCCTTTGCATCTTAGGAATTCCTAAGCTGAGTCATTTAATCATCCATCTAGACAGGGCTTTGTGTATCTGGGGTCATCTCCAGATGGTGCAGGGACTGCTGAGTCAAGGACTGGCTCTCAGGAACAACTAGGGAGCTTTGCTGTCTCACAGCAATGAAAGCTTTTACTTTCTACCCGCTTCTCCTATTCTTTGAGTTCCAGGAACCCAGGAACTCAGAACACTTTTACCCCTTTTTCTTGAGGACCTCCAGGGACGCTTATACTGATATCTCTGATTCATGGGCCTTGTCTTTGGTGTCTTGGTGGGACCTGGGAAGGAAGACTCCTGGGTCTCCCACTCCAGCGCAGTGCTCAGGGGCGTCTCTGTGCCTGGCCCTTGCTGGCGCTCTGTACAGGTACTGGAGAAGCTCTGCTTGCCTCTCTCTGCTCCCATTCACAGCACAGACTTTGCTGTCTCTTGGGTCCAGCCTCCTCTGTGACCCAGGGAACTGATCTAAGAGGGTTTAAGTCCTTTCCAGAGCCCTGAAGCTCATGGAATGCATGCAATATTCAATTTTCACTTGGATCACAATCCCGGCTGTTATCCTTCTTTGAGGAGACAAAATATTAGGATGGGAAAATGGTAAATGGGAGTGATAAACCAAACCCCCCATTTCCAGATGCCACTGGGAGTGAAGGGTGAGTGTCTCTCCGTCAGCCCGCGGGTGTGTTTCATTAATGTTTCAACAAATTAATGACTAAATAAAAGTCAGCATGATGGCTCAGGCGCACATTTGTAATTCATATTAATGCCCCAACGCTTACTGTGCCAAATGTAGTAATGTCACTGTCTGCCCGTCTCAGCTGATGTCAGGACTTCTAGTGTAGCAGAAGCTGGGGTGCTTGGGGCACAGGGGTCCTCGCACTACCTGCCATGCCTCGGGATGGGAGGCCTCTGAGCCCAGTGCGTTAAAACCCCAACCTGGGCTGGGTGTGGTGGCTCACACCTATAATCCCAGCACTTTGGGAGGCCCAGGCGGGTGGATCACGAGGTCAGGAGTTCGGGACCAGCCTGGCCAACATGGTGAAACTCCATCTCTACTAAAGATACCAAAAATTAGCCAGGCATGGTGGTGGGCACCTGTAATCCCAGTTACTAGGAAGGCTAAGGCAGGAGAATCGCTTGAACCTGGGAGGCAGAGGTTGCAGTGAGCTGAGATAGTGCCATTGCACTCGAGCCTGGACAACAGGGCGAGACTCTGTCTCAGAACAACAACAACAATAAAAACCCTGCCAGGTGGAGGAGACTGAGGCTCTCCTGCCTGTGTGGTTACCTTGGGTATGTGCGTGTAGACCTATCTGGCTTCCGCCCCCAGGTCTTGCCTTGACTACCTTCTTCTTGCCTTCTGAGCTCAAACACCTCTTCCTTGGGTGGTGTCTCTTTAATATTTCAGTTAATGTTTTACACCACCTGATTACCCTATTTTAATTTCTTCATACCACTTACCCTTATGTCACATTATATTATGTAAATATTTATTTGATTTTGATGTTTTCTGCCTCCCTCCCCTGCGCCTCCCAGCTTCCTTGCATGTTAGCTCTGTGAGTGTAGTAGTAACGTTACATGGCTGTTCATGACTGGGTCTCTAGACCTCCCAAAAGGGTCTAGCACAATAGATAGCTGCTGACTGAATGAATACATGAATGAATAAATGCACAGGTAAGGGTAAAGGCTCTCCAGCCCTTTACCTTGGCTGCTCCTAAGCTGAGATTGTGTTCAACTGCAAGCTCTGTGAGGCCAAGGGTCTTGTGTATCCGGTTCACTGCCAAACTTGCAGTGTCTATAATACTGCCCAGTACACAGTAGGTATTTACTGCACGGATGAATGAATAAATTGCAAGTGAGAGATGCTTTCCTCAAACAATGCTCACATATATTTCAGAATTGGGCAGCAGCATGCCAATTTCATGTCTGGCAGCCAGATTTTGAATTCCTTTTCCTAAGAGACAAGAAGCACCTCAATGCCCTCAGACTGTCTCCAAATCCTGGCTAAGGGAAACCAGACGGGGAAGAGAGAGGGTGGGGGCAGAGACAGGATCTTGGTGGCAGACGGCCCATCTCCCTTCTCCTCTGTGATCTTCAGCACAAGCAGACACTAATCTCACACACGGTCCCATCTTTGATATCCCAGGCAGATGTTCTATTCGATAAATGAAACTAATTTACTCTGCAAGCAGCAGGCAACAGCTGAAATCAGAGACTTCCCAGTCCTCATCCCTTTCCTGGGGGGATGGTGCCAGGTAGGGGGAAAATGTGCATCTTGTTACCTGCCCACTCATAAATTGAGTAAACAGATTGCACAGAGAGGCAAAATATAGACAGATTGATCAAGAGTGTGGGTTCTGGGGCCAGACAGCTGGGTTCAAATCTTGCCTTTCCTACCTGTTACGGTGGACTTTGGCTAAATTACATTTATGAATAAAAAAATGGTTGAATAAAGCAAGATTTTTTTTTTGGTATATTAGAGTTTGTGGCCCTAGGGATAAATAGAGTTTGTGGTCCTAGGGATACATCTGGGAACAAAACAGATAATAATTCCCTCTCGGTGGAGCTTAGCTGGCCCAAGTTCTTTAGCTGTAAAAGTGAGATGACAATAGATTTTATATTTTAGGTTGTGGTGAGGACTAAACCCATCAGAGTCTTAGGAGAGTACCTGGTACCCAGTCAGTGCTCAGTAAACGCTGCCAGTCATTGTTTTACTGCATGCATGATCATCATTGGATGTGTTAGGTGGGAATGGGATCACTATCCCCATCCTGCTGACTAAGAAGCATGCGAAGAAGGCTCAAGTGACTTCCCTATGTCACACATGAGTCACTGACAGAATGAGGATATTCTATACCTTCCTGCCTACAGGGGTCTTGGAACCCCTGGTGGGTGAAGCCTTGATACCAACCAGTGGGCTACCTATGGGTTTCAAAATCAAAGACAGGAAGGGCTATAGGATGGGGTGGATGTTTTCTTAGGACAATGGCCGTGAGGGTGGTCTGGAGAGAAAGCCTGAAACTCATCAGAAGAAAAGGAGCTCCTCACTTGGCAAGGCCAGGTAAACGGGTGAGGGCAGACACAGCAGTAATGAACACGCATCGCCATCTCTCCCTACACCTGAAAGACAGTGCTGTGGTGGTATGTGGTGGGGTGGGAGGGGGACGTGAGGTTGGAGTAGAAGATGCATTCGAATTAGAAGCCAATAACTGGAAAAGCTGCCAGGCACTTAATCAATAAAAATAATGCATTTGGGTTGTAGAAATATTCCCCAAGATCAATTTCCCCGGAAGAAATATTTGTTTCTTTTACTAGGTTGCCACAAGTGTGTAAGGGAGCATAAAGTCTTGATAAACACCTCTTGAAAAAATACGTCCATGTCCCTCTTCCCTCAGGCGCCCCCATAACCCCCTCTCAGCCCCCAACTTGGGCCCCACTTACAGCGATGTGAGTGACTTCAGGCCCTGGAAGGCATCTGGAGCAATATCTGATATCTGATTCTTGCTGATGTCTCTGAAAATGTTAACGGCAAGGTCTGAGAACATGGCTCAAAGATGCGATAACGGTCACTGTTAAATGTCAATCAAGGATTTCAGGCATTCAAAATGATAAGGATTAATTAATCAATCAAGCAATTCATTTATTCATAGTGCAAGAGAAGGAGCTTTGAGAGCCTTCAGTTCAACTACTTCATGATAAAGTGCACCACATTTACATCACTCTTCTTGGTTTTCAAAGAATACTCACCAGTGGCATCTTGATCTAGACACGAGGCTGTGAACACGTGAGCCATCACTTTGTAGGTGGAAAATTGAGCCCAGTCAAATTAGGGCCTTACGTCTCATCACCAAGTAATTAATGGTACAGATGAAACAGGAACCAGCTTCCCCCAACCAACCACAGGCCAGGGTTCCTTTAGGCATCATCTTGCCTCATGCCTCCGCAGCTGCTCATTTTTCTCCCAGAAAGTCCTGAGTCATTTCACCTCCCCAGTGACTTTTCCTCCCTGACCTGAAAGGAGGTTTTGAGCAGTGACTTAAGTCTCTGTCTGGTTCGGTGCAAGCTCTAGGCTGTGGGATGTAAGCACATCGTGGGATTCTCAGGGGACGCCTTGGAGATATGGGCTTGTCTATGGCTGGCAGTGTGCTCTTCATCTGGGAGCAAGCCCAGGGCATGAGAATGTCCCAGGCTTTGGATAATGTGAGCAAGAGGGATGCGGTGGGCCAAGAGGATTCTATTAATGCTGGGCCTGAGCCCCGAGGTAGCTAACCTGGTTTTGCAGGTGCAGAGGAATCTCCTCTACCCTGGCTCCTTCCCAGGGGCCCTGAGGCTGCCCAATTGCTGGCATCCCCTTGACTTCTGAGAATCCAGACACCGGCTCTTGCTAATGGCCCTTCACCGAGGGGAAATACTTTCTCTCAGAGTCATTAGCTCAGGGATGGCCTCTGGGCTCCTGTCACTGGAAGGAGAGATGCTCCAATTTCCTGTGACAACAAACCTCTCCAGTTCTTTTCCTTTAACAAAATAAATCAATGGGTCTTTGCTTTTGTGCAGAAGAGGGAGAGCTGGGGTCTTGGAGGGTCAACAAGGAGGTGAGGAGAGAATATGGAGAAGAAAAGCACAACTGAGCAGATTCTTAAGCAATTGCCTCCAGCGAGGCCAGACGCTCCAGCCTCCCAGCCTCTTAAGCACTTGCAGTGGAAATCTCCCTGGACCTGCTTCCTTCCTTCTTCTAACAGACTTCAAAAGGACCACGCCACAACCTTTGCTGAGGCCTCTGCTTCCTCCCCTCCCTGCCTCCAAACCCTGTACTTTGAAAGATATTTCACAGGTTAAGGCTTCTTCGGCCCAGCTGTCTAGTTTATCCCTTTAGCTGGCGAAATCACCTCCAACAAATCTGCAGATTGCGCTCGCAAACTCGTCAGCTTACACCGGGCTTTTCTTCAGCGCTCCAGTTTTGTTTAAGGGTCTTAACAAGCAAATACCCTGGATTATCCTAATCTTACTTGCCCTCAGAGTGGCTGCCTATGCAAAGCACTCCAGGCAAGCATGAAGGCTCTGTTCAGACTGGACTAGCGGGAGGGCCTGTGTTGTCTTTTTTCCCCTGATTATGAATTGTCCCTTCGAGGTGCTGAGACCTCTAGTTGCAAGAGGAAGCTCTGTGGCCAGCAGGGAAACCCTCTGCTTTACCTTTAGGAGGGCAAACTGGTTTTCAGTCCACAACTAGACTTTTGGACCCATCTCTCCCTAGAGTATGAGGTGAGATGCCTCACAGTTTGGAGGTGTTGGGGAGTGGGAATTGGAAAAGTGATAGTTTAGCTGGGAATTGACCTTGGTCACTTTGTCTTTTTATTATTACAATAAAAACTGTATACTTAGGCTGGTCCAGAGGTAGTGAGTTCTCTCAATGGACTGTTCACAATCAGTTACAAATTCCTTGTTCTACTCTTTCCTCCTTTTTTACTATTGCACTTGACTAGTCTTTAAAAAATGTATGCATATTTGGTGTGTAACACGATTTTCATTGTTGTTCTTTTTTTTTTCCTTAGGAAACCACTGTGTTAAATTTGATGTTTTGATGTATGCATTCATCATGAAATAGCTAAATCAAGCTGTTTAACACATGCATTACCTCACATACTTATTTATTTGTGGTGAGGACACTTACAATCTACTCTCTGAGCTATTTTCAAGTATACGGCATGTCGTTGGTAACTACATTCACCGTGTTGTATAATACAACGAATCTCTTGAACTTATGCCTCCTGTCTAACTGAAATTGTGTAGCCTTGGCCAACATCTCCCTCATCTTCATCTCCCCTCCACCCCCGCCCCACCAGCCTCTGAGCACCTCCGATCTACTTTCTGCTTATAAGAGTTTGGTTTTTTTAGATTCCATGTGTAAGTGAGAACATCTGGCACACTTGGTCTTAATTCTTAATTCTGCAAGCAGGAAACAGCAACCCTGAGAGCTGAAGTACCTGGAGCCCTAAGTGACTTGACACAGTCATTTGGGCACAGAGCAAGCATCTCAAGTCTCCTATCAGCTCAAGGCCCCCTCCGCTATTTTGCTGTGATAAATACACAAAACAGGGCACTGAGCTGAAAGGCAGATGGGAGATGGCTCTAGCTGCCCACTGACCTCCATGCTTGACCCCACCCCTAGCCACAGCAGCTGCCCCTAGAACTGATTCTGGGCACTGGGATTACTCTTAATCAGTGCTTCTCAAACCTCACAAGGGTGTGGATTAAAATGCACCACAGAGAGTCTGATTTGTAGGATCCGGGGGTAAGGGCTAGGAATCTGTATCTGCAGCACATCTTTAGGTGATTCCCATCTAGGTAGTCCCTGGCTCATATACTTCAGGCCATGATGTTTTAGAAAATGGTCTCAGACCCACCTTGGTCCCCTGGGACTTATAAACTGGATGACCAAGGGGTAGCTTTTCCAGACTGTTCAGAATAGAGGTGGCAAATTCAAGTGCCTACAAAGGTCATGCAGGGAATATGTGTGAGATACTAGGACGTCTTGGAGCTTGTGGAGTAAGCTGCTCTGCCTAAGAGCATGTAAAAGAAAAGAACTCCCAACATCCCATTCTACCAATAATACAGGTAGCCCAGGTGTCAGGCCTACCAGTAAACTAACCTTGCAAGACTGAGGAGCTGACTGTCCCCAGGGCCTTCTACTGCTTCTCTGTGACTCCTCTGCTTTGATACAGGCTAAGCATCCCTAATCCAAAAATCCAAAATCTGAAACTTTCTGAGCACTGACGCGACATCACAAGTGGAAAATTCCACACCTGACCTCATGTGACAGGTTGCAGTCAAAACACAGTCAAAACTTTGTGTCATGTGCACAAGTATTAAAAACATTGTATAAATTACCTTCAGCTTATGTGTGTAAGGTGTATATGAAACATGAATGAATTTCATATTTAGACTTGGATCCCATTCTCAAGATATCTCATTATGTATGTGAAAATATTCCAAAATCTGAAAAATTCAGGACTCTGAAACACTTTTGGCCCCAAGTATTTTGGATGAGGAATACTCAATCTTTTAGTTTGTACCTGGAATGCTTTTTATACTAAGGTGACCACTAGAAATAGGCAGGGACAAAGCCATTCAGTCAGGGAGAATTTTTTTCCTCCCCCTCCCTTTTCCTTTTTTCTTTCTTTCTTTTTTTTTTTTTTTTTTTTGTAAAAGATAAGAACAGGATGTGGTTTACCCACAGTTGAGGGGGAAACTTCTTTCTGTTAGATATTAGGGATAACCTGGTCATGTATATTTAGGAGAAATTAGGGTTTTGAAATCCATTCTCACCAGGGACCCTCCCTCTCCCAAGCCATCGATTGCACTTGAGTCTAGATTTCTGAAGTTCCATTACTCGAAAATGTTTAAGTGCACTCTCTTCTTTATTGCCATCCTCTTTGGGGGAAAAAAAGGGCATCATAATAAATATCAGTAGCATCATAAGTGATCAAAAATTAAATTCACTTTCCAGGTCGTGACTGAGCAGGTCTTATGAATTTTGAATGCACAGATCATGGTAAGTCCAATAGGATGGAGAAGGAACAGTAAAACATAGTCAAGCTTTAAATTACCTGGACTTCACAAAAAATTAGAGCAGTAACTTAAATCATGCAAGAGATATAGGTTGGGGCAGTGACTGAACTTGTCATTTTTCACTGAAATTACTATCTGGCTGCATAATCAAGCTGAGCTTTAAAAACGAACTGGGGGGGGGGTGCATGGAGAGCGAGCTGGGGAAGCAGGGACACCAGGAGATTAATGGCCAGAGGTTTTAAATATTAAGGCCTATATTTATACAGCTCCTGCAGCAGGAATGCTGCCAAGGGGAGGGAAGAAGAACGTGCTTCGAGCTGCCTCATTATGTTGGTTTCCACTTCTGGAATTGCACCAGGAGAAAAGCTTGTTTGGTTTGGATTTCCAGGGAGATGGGAAGTTGGCTTCCTGAGATCTGAGGGTAAAGCCTACCCATGCCACTGTTTCGCAGAGATATTTGTTTTTAACATAAAAGGAATCAGCAGACACTTAACCTTTTTAATGTGGGCCCTCCCACTCAAGGGAAAGCAATGAATCAGCCCCGTGCAGAACAAGAAGCAGGAAGGAATCCATGCATATTTCTCTTTCCTCTGTGGGAGGGTGCCGGGGTTGGGGGTGCAAAAAGAGCTAGTGGAATGAAAATAGCAACTTTGTTTCTGGGCTCTAATAAATGATTTCTTTTTTTTTTTTTTTTGAGACAGAGTCTCACCCTGTCACCCAGGCTGGAGTGCAATGTCGTAATCTCGGCTCACTGTAAACTCTGCCTCCCGGGTTCAAGTGATTCTCCTGCCTCAGCCTTCCAAGTAGCTGGGATTACAGGCCCACACCACCATACCTAATTTTTTTTTTTTTTTTTTTGTATCTTTAGTAGAGATGGGGTTTCACCATGTTGGCCAGGCTGGTCTCAAACTCCTGATCTTGTGATCAGCCCGCCTCGTCCTCCCAAAGTGCTGGGATCACAAGTGTGAGCCACCACATCTGGCCTACTAAATGATTTCTTAGAATAAAAAAGGGGAGGGGTATCTGTCCAGAATTTTAATACCTGTGATGGCAATGGTTGGGCTGTTTCTGAATCCTATTGGCCTCCCTTCAGAGCCCCCAGCTCTGAGTGACTCACAGAGTAGTGCTCAAAGTCGTCATGGGATGGGGAAGAATGATGACATTGTCACATGGTGGGCATGAGGGCAGTGATGCAACGGTTCCATCAAAGCTGCTGCAGTGAGGAAGGAACAGCAGGGTTGGTGTCGCCCAGCAGTGATGTAATGCAGTGGTGGAGTGACGTGACTTACCGAGCTAATGGGGATGTAGGGGATGCTCACATGTTGACCATACCCTCCGAGGCTTCTCATTTCATGCAGGAAGAACAGAAAGTCTGTACCATGGTCTAAGGAGGCCATGTGATCTAGTCCCAACCTTTCCAACATGAGCCCCATTGTCTCCGCTCACTTGTTCCGCTCCTTCTTGCTATTACACAAACCATCGATACAGGCTCCCTATGGCCTTTCTCTTGCTCTTCCTGCTGCCTGGGACAGTCTTTCCTAAGAGCTCTGTGCTCACTCCCTTCCTTCCTGTAGGCCACCTGAACGTAGAGGCCTTCATGGGCACACCTACCTAAAAGACCCTCCCACCATCACTGATATTCTGATTTCTCATATTTGTTCCTTTATTTTCTGTGTTCTCCCACTCGAATATAAGCTCCATGAGAGCAGATTTGCTTTCTGTTCACTGCTCTACCCATAGATCCTTGTTTGTAGCAGACATTTGCTTGGTATTTGTTAAATGAGTGTATGCATGGTTGTAGGGATGTTGGTGACAGTGGCATTGACAGCTAAGGGGCCATCAAGTCTCTGCTGAAATTCTTATTTTAGGTCCACATCACTAGAGCCAAGTGACAAAAATGGTGATATGGGTTTTCTAGGCTAACTCATCTTTGCCTCCCACACAGATAATTTTACTTTGCTCTAGTTGGAGAGGTTCTTAGCTCTACATAATCCAAGCCCACACACCTCACAATCTCCAGGCAACACTTCCACATCTTACCTCCCAAGCCTAGGAGTGTTCAAGGTCTGAAACAGAACTGCCCAGGATGAATGGACATGGTCTATCACCTGGACAGGTTGCCCACTACACATTGCAAATGACCCCGGAAATTGAAAACATTTGGTCTCATTTCTCCCCAGGGGAAACTTACATTCGCTTCAGTTTCTTGTACTGGGTGAAGGCTCCTGCAGGGATGGATTTGATGGAGTTCTGTTCTAGGCGTCTGGGAAACAGAGCAGAGAAGGGTCCATTAACCATCCACCTGTCAACAAGTGGTCATTGAGGCCTACTGTGTTCTCAGGCCTGAAGGACAGGGAGGTCTCTCTTGCCACAGGTGCATGTTGTGGTTGCGGGAGATCAGGCAAAACAATGCATCAGCCAGAGAACTCAGGTAGTAGTATATGGAGCCCCCATCCAAGGGTCTAACTCCCCTTGGAGAAAGCTGGAAAGGATGACCTTTCCTTGGGGATTTTTGATTCTTGCTTATTATAAACTGCCTTTGGCGGCAGCTGTCTTCTTCAGAGCCAGCTGTAGAAGTAACCAAGCAGAATGCAGAATAAGTCAAAGGGATAAAAAGAAGAGTAAAAAGAGATGGACCATGGGCCAGCAATGCTTATCTGTCATGGAACCATGTCACTATTCAGTTAAACACTCAGCCACACTGCTAATGGGGCAGAAATGTCAATGGTTGACTTCATTTCTGGGTTTTTCCATGGGCTGTCTTAATACACTCAAGAAACAGCCTTAACATCTTTAGGCTCCCAGCCTGTCATTCATCAAACTGGCTCCCTGACATCCTGCAAGGCCCAGGGGTCCAGACTGGACCACTCCCCTGGGCTGCTGCTGGAATCTGTGGTTTTAACCTATTATGGAGTTTTCTGAAATGCTTCCTCTCCTATCACGTTGAAAGGAACAAGAGACACTGCAGGCCCAGGGCCCAGAACTTCCTTGGAAGTGAAGAGGCCATGGGGAATGAGTGAGCATTTCCATTCTTTATTCTTTCATCTCTCAAATGACTTCCTGTCACCACGAACAGGTGTGGTGGGAAACAGGCATGTGGGGGTGGTGGGGCCCTCTATTAGGGGTGATGAATGGCACCCTGGCCCAGGCTCAGGATCTCATCCTTATCCATCTCCCTTCTCTCCAATGTGCACATCTTTTCATCACCTCCTTGTTTGGCCTTGATGCTCCCCAAACCCTCAGCTGGGAAGACACACACATGTGTATGGCAGGGGATGTAGGGGAAACAAAAGCGTTACATGAGAGGAACGGGCTCCCTTGAAGCTGACAGCTAGTGGATGCACATTTCTGGCTGCGATGGACCCATTCATCTTGAAGAGTAATCCCCGCTGCAGAGTGGGGGAGACAGTCGTATTAATTTGTGCCTCTGCGATCTCATCTTCATTGGGGGAACAGAGTATTTGTTACTGGAACCGCTAATGGAGCAGTTTGCCAGCAATTTTCCCATTTCAAACAACATCTCAGCTGCTAATGTGGAATGGTTTGTCAGGCCAACCCATAACACAGACAAATCACTCTCCAGGCAAAAGGAAGGGGGAAAGGGGGGAGAAAGGGGAAAGGCGGGTGAGAGGAGAGAGGGAGTATCAGGACATATCATTCTTGGCTGCCGGATGAATAGAGTCTACAAATGAGACTGCCACGGTCTATTAACAATGCCTTTGTACCCTGCTGGAGGGGGATGGGGAGTATACTTTACAGGGAGCACAGTCACAGGCAGGCTGGACAGAGGCCTGGCTGGCTGGCTCATGGAGAGCCACAAAAGCCTGTCACAGGGTCTCAGGTACTGTGGGCTACTGGATATAGCAACCCACAGAGACAGCAGACTCGAGGCAGCCTGCCTTGCCTGAGAAGTTCCAAGGACATGCTCATTTTCCAGCTGAGCATAGAGTTCAGCAGGGATTTCTTAGCCAAGGCAGCAGCCCCATGGATCTCTGGGGCTGCCAGTCAGGTGGTGGGTGCTCTCCAGGAATCCTATCATTCACCTGCCACCGTGGCAAGGGACTTTGGCAGGATGATGCCTCCAGAGAAAGCCACTGTTTGTAACAATGGCAACCCCCTCAACTTTTGCAAGAGCATCCACTGTTCCCAGCTGCAGGCCAGTGAGCCTATGCCAAGTCATGACAGCACTGGGTGTGAGCTCTGTGGGCTCTCTATGCAGTTCCTAATCAATTACCCTCCGTTTTAATGATGGGTGCAAGAATTAAGGGAGAGAGAAATCAATGAACATGATGTGACACTGGACCCAAGGAGTTTGATAATCTGGTAATAGAGACAAGCCCAAGACGGTGCATCACAGAACTAAATTTTATTGCTACCATAATAAACACGAGGAGTCATCATTTATGGGCTCTAGTTGACCATGTCGATTATCTCTTTTAATCCTTCCACATGTAAGGTATACTATACTGACCCCATTTTGCAGATGAGGAAGAGACAACCTAGAGGAATCAAATAGCGTGTCCTAAGTGACAGGGCCAGGAACGGGAAGAACTGTTATCTCTGTTTCTATCCATTGGATATGCTGCCTCTATATATTTGTGAAAATGGAGAAACTGAGGCTCAGAGATGAAGGGGACATTCTCAAAGTCACAGAAAAGTTAAAGGGATTGGGGCCCCAGGGCTTACACACTGAGACATCACACGGAAGCAGGTACTCAGAGAAAAGGCTGCAGGGGTCGGAGAGACTGAGATATAGATGTGAATATACATAAGACATGCAAATAGAATGCAAAGGTGTGGCTTCTGAATGAAGAATAAAGAATTCCAGGCCTAGCCTGGTAAGCCTGGCAAAAAGGTTCCTCTGCATACTGCACTCCTCACACTTGGCTCACTCTGGCTTTGGTTTTCCTTCTTTCTTTCTTTTTTTAAAAGAGACAGAGTCTTGCTCCATCACCCAGGCTGGAGTGCAGTGGTGTGATCATGACTCACTGCAGCCTTGAACGCCTGGGCTCAAGTGATCATCCCACCTCCGCTTCCTGAGTAGCTAGGACGACAGCCATGTACTACCATGCCTGGCTAATTTTTAACTTTTATTTTTGTACAGACAGGGGTCTCACTATGTTGGGTAGGCTGGTCTCAAACTCCTGGCTTCACGCAATTATCTTGCTTCAGCATCCCAAAGTGCTAAAATTACAGGTGTGAGCCACCATGCCTGGCTTGGGTTTCATTCCTGTCTGGGGTTGCTCAGCTTCTCAGGCTGTTTTAGGCACTGGCTGAACACACAGCCCTTCCTGGAGGGCCAAGGCCATTGCACGATGAGGGTCAACCCTGCCCTAGGAGGCAGCAGGAATTTGTCTGGGGTGGGAGCATTGTTGTGAACAGTTTGTGTACCTTCAATGTAAAGGAAAGAAAATGATAGGTGTAACCATAACCCCCACCACCACCGCCGCCACCACCGCCAAGAGCTAAGATAAATCAGGTGCTCAGATGTTAGACACAAGGCTGAGTTTTACACGGTTTGTCTAACTTAACAGTGACACTCTCTGAGGCAGGTCTTTTTAGTTATTACCACCTCCACATTAAACACAAGAATATTGAGGCTCAGAGAGATTAAGGCACTTGCCGGGATTCACAAAGTCAGGGAGAGGTAGAGCTGGGACTCAAAGCCAAGTTCATCTGACTTCAAAGCCCAAACTCTCAATTACCACGCTTTGCTGAATACCGTTTGGAGTGGAAGTGCATTCATTTTCTTAGTCCTTTCCAGCTGGTCCACAGGGAAAATGGCCCTTGGTCATGGGAGCAAGGTTGGAGAGAGTGCACAGATGTGTGTGTTCACATGCAGTCTTTGTGCAGCAGGTACCCCTGGAAAGACTTTGCACTTAGCCCAGTCCTGCAGCCTAGAACAAGGATGCAAAGGTGCAGACTCCTAGTGTGAAGAGCTCAGTGGAAAGGACATAAAGAAGCATTGGCATCAGCAAAACCTGTCACATTTAGGGATGCATCTGAAGCCAATAGCTGATTTAGGTCTCTTTTAACCGGCACATGTGTCTTTCTTTGTCTGGCAAACATTCTTCAGGCTGCAAACTGATTTAATAGAACTAGCATAAAAACAAACATACAAATCAAACATCTGAGCATCTTCCCGCACCAGCAAAAACAATGGGAACATCTGATGGGGATTTCAGCCATTTGTGCTCTGTATTGATTTGCCCTAGTTCCTCAGATGCTTCCTTAATGATCTGTCATTTGCAAACATGTGACTAAACACAATACATTTCTAGCAATACAGCAGTCAACATGATGCCGGAGAGACTGGCAGGGGCACGACTGCAAGGTTAAAAGGTCCTGGAGTGTGTGGAAACGTTGGCAGTCGTGGTGATGACAATGATATAATGAACACCTACCACTTTTGATATGTCAGACACTGTGATCCTCACACATTGGCTCAAATTATTTTTTTCAACAGTACTAGGAAGCAAGTAGTATTATTAATATATCCATTTTACAGATGAAGAAATCATGGTACAAAGAGGTCAACTTACCTAAGGTCAGGTAGCTAGCAATGGTGGAGTCTGAACTTGAATCCAGGTTGGAACACAGTGCCTGTGTTCTTAACCGTTAGGCTATCCTGCCTCCCACCTAGAAGCCACTTTTGTGGTTTTTTTAACTCTTTCCCATCTCTCTTAGCCTTCTTTGACTTGGGAGCACTTGTTAGGATGTCCAGATCATGCTGAAGGAAGGAAACCCCATGCTTATTCTTCCTCTAAGTCATCCTGGGCCGGCTCGTTGGACCAGACAACCTAAACCCCAAAGGTTCAGTTCCTGATCCTTCCCTATGCTGGAAGAAGGCTGAAATGGAAGGTTCCTTTCAAGGTTATGCTCTGGGCCCACCTTCTGGGGCAGTCCCTTTCTGGCCTTTCTCTTTCTTTACCATTGGTCCTCATGGTTTTTCAGAAAGGTAGACTGTGGACCAGGTGCAATGGCTCACACCTGTAATCCCAGCACTTTGGGAGGCTGAGGTGGGTGGATCACCTGAGGCCAGGAGTTTGACACCAGCCTGCCAAACGTGGTGAAACCCCATCTCTATGAAATACAAAAAATTAGCTGGACTTGGTGGTGGGTGGGTGCCTGTAATCCCAGCTACTCAGGAGGCTGAGGCAGGGGAATCACTTGAACCCAGGAGGTGGAGGTTGCAGTGAGCCAAGATCACACCACTCCAGCCTGGGCAACAAAAGCAAAATTCTGGTCCACATAGAAGATGAG